ACCCATAATAACAGAAACTTTGCTATCGGACCAATAAACCAACCTAAATCCAGAGGGTTGAAACTATGCCACATTATGGTATGTCCTACTTCGATTTGACTACGACACCTATAGGAAAATGTTTTGGCTTGTGAAATGGTAAGACACATTTCAATCAATCGTTAAATTCGGAGAGAAGTGCATTAATTTTTTATTGCAAATTATGCGGCGCGCAAGGAATTCATGACTGTTCAAAAATTCGCAATTGTTATAACTGTCTAAAACATCCTAAATTTAGAAACTCGCCGAATCATAGAGCTAATTCCTCGGACTGTCCTCTATACAAAATACAGATAGACAGAATTATCCAACGAACGAGATATGATCCAACCGACAATTAGGCAAATTTCGCAGCTAAGATTTTTGTTTATTTAGTTTGAATATCATGCAGGGAAAAGGAATTAAATGTTTACAACAAAATGTAAGAAAAAGTATCTTGGCACTGAATGAGCTTCAAGCTTCTATAAAAGACAACCCACCAGATATCATCCTAATACAGGAACCTTATCTGATTGATAGAGATGTAATTTTCGATTTGGAATCTCAAATAGTGCATTCAACGACAGATGAACAAATTTATACTGCAACGATCTTTATGAATAAGAGTTTAAAATTTAATAAAATCAATAAATTCACAAACTCCTTTTGTACAACCACTTCTTTAAATTCAGCAAAATCAAATACTATTATCGCAAACTTTTATATACATCCACATAGATTTAATGACACTCATAGAAAATTTATCCAAGAGCTTCTGGAGACCTACAATCAACAACCTATTATACTATGTGGTGACTTTAATTCTAGACACCCAGTCTGGTTTGATCCGACAACAAACTCCAATGGTTTCAAATTCCACTCCATCATAGATGAACATAACCTATTTATTCATAATCTTAAGATACCCACCTGCCGAAATTCTAGCTTTATAGATCTTACGATTTCAAACAAAAAATCAATGGGTTTGGTACAAAACTGGAAGACGACTATATTGACGCACATTTCAGATCACGTAGCAATAACCTTTGACATTTATCACAATTTTAACAGGCAAAGGACAGTTCAAAACTCAACATGGAAATTTATAGAAAAAGATGCTGATTGGAAAACATTTACCGAAAAAATAGCAATACAAGACGTAGATAATATTATCACCATGATAAACCACGCGTCAAACATCAAAGATATTGACAACATTGTAAAGACTCTCACACAAATAATTAAAGAGGCAGCTTATCTGTCACTAAATGTCAAGACAAGAAGCGGAAATCATAAAACAAATACATACTGGTGGGATGGGAAGCTGGAGAAAATGAAAAACGATTTCCACTATATTAGAAATTTGTATTACCGACATGGAAAGGTCCTTGAAAAGACCTATAAATCAATGAGAAATAAATATTTAAATAAAAGTAAAAAGGCAAAAAGAGCGAGTTGGAGAATTTTTATAGAAGAAAGTCATTCAAATAATTCATTTGGTAATGCTTATAGGGTATTCAAGTCATTGAGATCGAAAAATAGAAATTTAGGATTACCACTAATAGATAATTTACCAGATCATTTAAAGACCGACAAAATAAAAAGTTTATTGAACGATCTATTTCAGGATGATATTGGAGGTTTGGATAAAGATGATCATATTTTGATTAGAAATTATACGCCTAAATATAAAAATAAAAGTAGTGTTTATATCGAATCTAAGGAAATAGAGGAAACAATTTTAAAAACAAATATTAAAAAAGCACCGGGCCCTGATTACATTAGTAACAATATGATTAGACAGGCTAAAATAAAAATAATCCCAATTCTGCATAAATTATTCAATAAATGTATAGAAATGGGATATTATCCGGATGAATGGAAAAAATCATTCTTAAAAATAATTCCAAAACCAGGCAAAACGAATTATGAAATAAATAAAAGTTATAGACCTATATCATTGACATCTAATCTATCTAAAACATTTGAGAATATAATAAAAAATAAATTAAGTAACTATTATTTAGAGAATAATTTAATGAGCTCAAGGCAGCATGGTTTTATGAAATCTAGATCAACAATTACTGGAATGGATAAAATTATAGAAACTATATTGAAACATAAACAAAAAGAATTGACTTCCTTGATAGCTATAGATATTGCGGGTGCATTCGACAATGCATGGTGGCCTGCTATTATAAAAAGAATGGATAATGATGATGTTCCTTCAGATTTAATACGGATCATAAAATCTTATTTGAATAATGAAAGGGAGGTGAAATTTACATACGAATCAGAAACTTTTTATAAGAAACTAACTAAAGGATGTCCACAGGGTGGACTTTTATCTCCACTTCTATGGAATATTTTGCTAAATGATTTGTTGATAAATTTTGATTCAATGAATGCAGATATTATATGTTATGCAGACGACGTTACAATAATTTGCTGGAATAAGACTATTGAAGGACTAAAAACCGCAAGTGAATACACCTTAAATTATGTGATCCAATGGTGTAATAGAAATAAATTAACGATCAGTACAGAGAAGACTAATATGCTATACCTACATAACAGACAAAAAATACCTATTAAGGTTAATAACAATATAATAATGCCGGTCAAGCAAGTAAAAATTCTGGGAATGAAATTTTCTAATCACAAATGGAAAAACAAAGTTAACTTTACACCGCATGTTAATGATATTCTGTGTAAGGCAGGACGTATGAAAAATTTATTATGTTCACTAAGTGGCAATATGTGGGGTTTAGACACTGAAAAGAGGTTAACTTTATTCAAAACAATCATTAGGCCTGTACTTACATACGGTTCTGAAATTTGGTTCAAATATTTAAACAATCGTTGTAAACAAAAACTGAACTCCATGCACTACCAGATCATTTTATGGGCAGTTAGAGCATACAAAACCACTTCATCAAACTGTGTGCATAGCTTGGCAAAAACTCCACTCCTAACAGATTATATAGAATCCAGAATAATCAAATTTGATCTAGCTCAAATGTCCATTGAAGATCTAATTACTTACGAATCCCATGCTCCAAGTATAGTCAAATCATTCTTACACGCAAAAATGAATGAAATTTTTGAGAACACTAATGAAATTTTCAGAAGCTTTTTCGTATCAGGAATTCCAAGATTTTTCCGTCCAAATTTTTATAATATCCAATTCATTACAGATCATGGCAATTTTGGGAAATTTTTGGCAACTATCGGCGCCGTGAAGGAACCAGGATGCTTCTGCGGAGTTGAAATTCAAGACGCGAGACATCTACTTCTGGAGTGCCCAATTTTCCGGGATTTTAGGGAAAATAGATTTGGTCGTATTGGACAGCTTGATGAATTTGTAGACAAAAAAGAAAAGTATAAAAATTTTGATCAATTTTGTAAATACATATACAACTTTCTCTTGAATTGGAAAAAAGAGAAGGAATCTTAGAAAAAAAAAAAAAGAACTGCGATGCTTGCTCTGTGTGTTTTGCTTTGTTGTTTGTTTTTCTCTTTGGACAATTTTCTTTAGTTAATTTATGTAAAATAATGAATTGAACAGGATTGTATATAGCCGTATTGCTGTAATGCAGTGAAATGTATTGGCGCAAATATCCCTGAGTTTGGGATATCGCGTTTCATGATGTTAATAAAGTTAATTAATTAATTAAATGCATTAAAATTTATTAAATAAAATGTTTCATCTTAATGTATTTCATAGGAGGATACACAACCTTTCAATTACATTAATTGCTATATCAACATTTTTAGAAATAACATCAAATATCAAATCTTAACCTCCAACATTGATCGATATCCCCGGTTATATAATTTATCAAATTTTAAAATTTATATTTAAAGTGATATATCAATATAAATATATATCAATATATCTTTCATTAATAATTAAAAAATACTTAAGGTTAATAATAATCCTTATAAATTGCCCTAAAAAGAGAAAGTTATTGTAAGATGAAGTAAACCAGTAATCCACAATTAATTTTGTTTCTACCAAATAATTCTTTCTGATCCATTAGGATTTAGAAAGTCCTTTATCTCCAATGACGACGCAATGTTCGAACCAACGAAACAAATGAACTTTAAACTCTCTATTCTACCAAGTTTTTCTTTATTTCTTTTAATTCTATTTAAGAACATTTAATGATATTTCGGTTGTATTGTATAAGACGGTTTAACTCCCGAGGTTAGTTCTTCAACCAATCCTCGCGCAATTATTTTCTATTTATTTCTCCAAATTATCTTTTATATAGTAATTAGAGAGAATATTTTGTAACTCTTTTATTGTTCTCAAAAAGATAACTTTAATATATAATATATCGATTATTAATTAAGTATTCTCTTATACTTTATTTTAAATATATTTATAATATGAATCTCTTTCTAAAAGGTAATAAAAGGTATATTCATTATTGATATATTCTAAAAAAAAAGAATAAATAATTTTTTATATTTACTGCTTCGTTGTATGTATATATATGGATTAGATTCGAAAAACCTCAGTAGCATAGTTATACCTGTCGAAAGGCTGTTGAGCCCGAAAACGTTTATTGCCGATATACATAAAATAACTTTTCCCTCAGCGAATTGTCTTTTGAAAATAAATTTTATATATTTAGTTTAAAATATAATGAAGTAATTTTTCCATTTTTTGGTACTTTTCAGTTCTATTCAGTTATAATTTTTCTCTGTAAAATATAAGAAGAGAAAATAATACTAAAGTCAGATATATTTGTTTCAAAGAATAGTATTCACGCTACAATATATTTATAAAATAGCAAAGAGAGTTAACTATATGAATAAGTAAAACACGACACTTGCAAGTTTAACCGCATTAGTTTCTTTTCAACGACAAATTAAAATTTTATTTTAAGGTGAAATATCGACAATTTCTAACCTTTTGGATGAGGTATGAAAGGATGAATTATGAAGAGTAATGACGAACGGAAAAATAAAAGTGTTCAGGGATGGGAATCGAACCCACGACCTTCCGCTTACCGGGCAGATGCCATGTCCACTAGGCTACCCTGGGTTCGCGTGGGTTCGATTCCCATCCCTGGACACTTTTATTTTTCCGTTCGTCATTACTCTTCATAATTCATCCTTTCATACCTCATCCAAAAGGTTAGAAATTGTCGATATTTCACCTTAAAATAAAATTTTAATTTGTCGTTGAAAAGAAACTCATGCGGTTAAACTTGCAAGTGTCGTTTTACAATTACATGCCGCAGTGTATTATACATGAATAAGTATTATTTGTTTGTTCCTGTGGGTTCCGCATACACTACGACAATTTTGACTTATCTGGATGATATTTTGATAGCCCTCATTTAGAGATATATGAAAAAACAATAGAAAAAAAAAAAAGATAAGTGGGTCAAGTGTTGAGTTTAACATTAAAGAAAGTATATCCTGACCACGAGCACATTTTTGCTCCACTAGATGGCGCTCTGCCATCAAAAAAGCACATGTGCTCGTGGTCAGGATATGCCTTCTTTATTTTTAATAGAACTATATATGGCAGTTAAGGATAGGTGTCAGTAACCCCTAATATTAAGATTAGGAGATGTTCTCAAGTCAAACAGTCACCAGTTAAATACATATATACATTACATACTATAAATAAAGTAGAACTATGACAACTAATGTTGAACATTCCAGTTGTTGATTTACGATATAAATTTAGTTAGGAGCTAATAGCAGCGCCAGGATCTATCAATATTAAAAGAGCGGTTTGGCCATCAGGACGGACATTGGTGATAAATCAGCCGCACACAGAGGTCATTATTTCGTCCTCACAACTCCATTCAATCCATCATTTTAAAATTGGATGATATACTACCTTCCACTGGACTTCTGTTAGAAACTTTGGCATCATCGCGCTAACCCTTTATTCTCGTGTTCTTGATTGAAAAGTTGGCTTTCTGTATTCAATATATGGACTGGTAATATCTGATTAACGTCTTTGATATTTAGTTGATAAGATATAAATTAGTTTGTTTAGGGATAGCTTTAAGAAATAACCTATGGTTTACTTCAGTAGAACCGTTTGTTTTTAAAATTATTGAATTCATATTAAATTATTATATATATATTTAGCCCAATTTTAACCCTTCTCATTCAATAACTCATTTCATTGGAGTAAGGTCTGTAGACATAATATTTGATGATATTCAAAAGAAACACATTACCAGTAAATTTATTTGTGCAAAACCTTAACGATAGATGGCAATTAAATTTTTAAAATTATTCAATTATGTTATTAAACAAAGGGGGCTATGGAGGCAAAGAACTCTCGATCCGATATGATTTAATATTTATATGGAAATAGTTATTATTATATATGCTGCGTGTGTGCTGATTGATTCTCTTGAATATATTTGCTAATACACCACAAAGTGACCTGAATTTGTCCATGCTCTGCGCACAAATGTCATTTTGCCCTACAAATATTGTTTCAACAAATGTTTGTTTTTAATAATTATTGATATTAATAAATATAATTATGAGGCCCCTAATGTACAAATTTGCATGTGCTAATCAGCATATATAAGCCTCAAAACTATGCCAGTGACTACGCCTAGATCTAACTCAAATGAAAAATTCAACTAAAGGAATGGCCTATTATTGGTTCGTAAGCAACAACCACCCCAACATATATAATATATGAAAATAGAACAATGAATGAAATGTAATAGGTATTTATTAATAGTTATTGTGTTTATTTGCATATTCCGTGGTTGAATCTATGGCAGGAACTTCTCCAGGCGGAAATATATTTCGTGTCAAATATTGATGTTGCAATAACATGCGACGAATGTTCATACTATTATCGAATTATTCCTGACCTAATCCTGTATTGAGAAATACATTATTCCTGATGCCTTCAATAATGTGGAGACATGCGAAACAGATGAACAAACACAATCAAATTTTCAAATATATTATTTTATAAACAAGTTCATATTATATATATATACCAATATAAAATATTGAATATATATTTATAATATAATTGTAACGTTTTATTTTTGCTTTAACTTTTAAAGAAATGTTTTATTTTAAATCTTTATCTAATTTGTTTGTTTGTTTTAAATAAAGAGGCAAATTTACCATGTTGTTGTTCTTTTGTTTATTAATTGTTCTTTTTTTCCAATGATGATAAGAGTTATTGATCACACATTAAAAATCAATGAAAAACCAATTTCAAAATTAATTACAAAATTCAGAAACGTGTCATATCCCTCGGCTTGAAGGATTTATTTTCGCAAAATAAATGGTTTCAATTGTCACACATGAACTTTAACCAAGGAGGAATCATCTTTCAATAATTCACACGTAACACTAGATATTATTCTTGTTATTTGAAAAGGACCCTCATACTTTGGGGATGTTTTGACCATACTTGGATCATTACTAGCTATTTTACGAAGGACCAGATCACCAACTTTGAATGACGACTGCGGATGTTTTGCATCGTGTCGTGCTTTCCACTTTTCTCTATGCTTTGCGCTATTTTCTATTGCTTTCTTCCTTGCATTTTCTATGGTGAAATGTGGTGATTCAGAAAATTATGCACAATCACCAAAAAGTAGGAAATTTGGAGAAAACCCAGTGACATCATGGGGTGTGCTATTATAATCTTTCACAATTTCGGCAAGTAATGATGACCATTTTAGTCTTGGATTCTCTTGAAGGTTTGTTCTTAATTTGGTGAGTATAGTGTCATTCATCTTTTCACACAGTCCATTACTCTGCGGATGATATGGCGTCGAATAGGTGTGTTGAACTTGATGCTCATTCAAAAACTTGTTAAATTCTTTTGATGTAAAATTCGTTCCGTTGTCGGTTAAAATACATTTGATTTGGGGAACAGTTTTGTTGATTTTGTCTAAACATTGAATTACTGCTTGAGAAGTGTTGGTGACAGTAGGGAAAGCCCAAACAAATCTTGTTAGGTGGTCAATTATTACTTGAATGTATTTGTGCTTGGTTTCATTTGCTGCAGAGCCTAGCACAATAGTATCCATTGATATTGATTCCAGTGGTTTCAGATCAGAGTTTGGTGCAACATATTCTCCAATAAATGGTTTATGACTGCATTTAGTTATTTGACATATTTTACATGAGCGAACATAGTCTTTGATGCATCTGATAGCATTCGGCCACCAATAAAATGGTGTTATCAATCTTACTGTCTTGTTAATTGAGGGGTGAGAATGATTATTGTGGTATTCTTTGAGAATTTCTTCTTGGAATGATTCTGGAACAACTGTTTTTAGAACTCCATTATGTTTCACCATAATAAGATCTCGATGAATATGAGAGTTCTTTACAAAACTGAGATCCGCTTTTTGTTGGTGTAGTCGAAGAGTGGGGATTGATATATGAAATGACACTGGTGATCTTGACAATGCATCAACATGCGTTTGCTTTGATCCTGATCTGTGAACTATTTTCATTGACTTGGTTGATAATTCAATTATCCATCGGAGATATTTTGCCTTTGGTTTCTTTACGTTGAAGAGCCATTCCAAAGCCGAATGATCTGTAATGACTTCAAATGTATTGTTCTCAAGATAAACTTCAAAGTATTCAACTGATTGAACTACAACAAAGCATTCCAACTCAAATGTAGAATAGTTCTGTTGATGTGGTAGAAGTTTCCCTGAATAATAGGAAATTACATGTTCTTGATTATCATTTCCAATTTGAGCTAAAATAGCACCAATTCCCAGTTTAGATGCATCTGTATAAAGCTTACATGGTAATGAAGGATCATATGTAGAAAGAACTGGATCTGTGGATAAATGAGACTTTAGTTCCTGAAATGATTTGTTAACTTCAGTAGTCCATTTGAATAACTTATTTTTTCTTGTGAGGCTTGTTAAAGGATCTGCAATTTCACTAAATTTAGGAATAAATTTCCTGTAGTAACCTGCTAAACCCAAAAACTGCCTTACTTGCTTCACTGTTTTAGGTTAAGGGAACTCATTTATTGCCTTTGTTTTTTCAGGGTCAGGTTTAATCTTGTTATGTCCTATGATATGACCTAAATATCTTATTTCTTGTTTTGCAAAGGAGCATTTCTTCAACTTGAGTTTGATATTGTTTTCTTTAAGCTTGTCAAATATTTTCTTCATGAGTTCAATATGATCTTTAAAAGTACTGCTGTAAATTAGAATACCATCTTGATAATTACAAACACCGTTCCAAAGAAGATTTCCAATAATATGCTGAATTATTCGCTGAAAAGTACTTGGAGCATTTTTCAAGCCAAATGGCATAACCAAAAATTCATAATGCCCGTCATTTGTAATGAAAGCAGTTTTCTCAACAGAGTCTGGATGTATTTCAACATGCCAATAGCCCCACGCTATGTCAAGTGTTGTGAAGTATTTCGCATTATGTAAGCGATCAAACATATCTTGGATGTATGGAAGAGGCTGCTTGTCATCAATTGTAATTGCATTCAGTTTTCGGTAATCTATGCACATCCTTTGTGAACCATCCTTTTTAGAGACCAACACTACGGGGAAGGCCCAAGGTGACTGAGATTCTCTTATTAGTCCCTTTTTACTCAATTCTTCAACTTGTCTTTTTATTCCATCATATTCGGCAAGTGGTCTTCTATATGGGTGGATGTTCAATTGTATGGATCTTGTGTTGAACAGCAATCCTTCCGATGTCAGTTTCATGCTGGCTGAACAATGCTTGATTTTCTTTAAGTAATTGATTAAGCTCTTTTTGCTGAACAGATGGAAGATGCGTTTCAGGAGATATATAAAAACATTCATTTCCTTTAACATACACCGCTTTGTCTTTTGTGTCAATTATTAATCCAATTTTTCCTGCACATCAAGTCCAATAATCAATGGATAGCTAAAGTTTTTCATTACATGAAGCTTACACCCGACAAGTTTAGAATGGATTTTCAAAAATACTTCTACTGATCCTAAAGTATATGCAAAACTATCTACTTGTTTAATTTTGATTCTTTCGTTTACATTCAATTTTAACTTATGTTGTTTT